TTGTTCAATTAGTTTTTATATCTTTGCATCCACAAGAAGTAAATGTATCTTTCATAAAAACTACTTTCCAGACATGACGTGGTACATTTTGTTGATGAATACTTCATTAGAGTATTTTTACTTCCTCCTTGAGGAACGTTTTTAATAAATACGTTTTCATTCAAAAACTAGACGTCATTGTTGTGGTTTTTCCTGCTGAGCAGAAATAATTAACATCTCCACAAAGATGTGCGAGGTCAAAGGTCAGAGGTCCAGACTGAGAGTCTCCTGGTTCCTCCGTGTCTCCTTTTGGTTCACACATACGGCGTCAAAAACACACACGTGTGAGAGGAGGAGAAACGAAACGCGTCCTTATAGCCGCTCACTGAAAAGAAGGAGACGGGACTATTTTTCAGAGAGGAGACAAGGAGAAGGAGACAAGGAGAAGGAGACAAGGAGAAGGAGACAAGGAGAAGGAAAAGTGGAGAAGAAGTGTGCTCGTGTCACAGAGGAAGAGGAGCAGATGGAGGCGTCGTCACTGACGTGGTCTTTGATGTTAAACCAGTATTTAGAGGTTAATGAGGCTGTTAGGAGGTGAAGGAACCGCCTGTGAGACACACACACAGACACACACAGGCACATACACACGGGCACATACACACACAAACACAGACACACACACAGTGAGACACAGAGAGACAAACACACACACACACACACACAAACACACACGGGCACACACGCAGACACACACGGGCACACACACACAGTGGGACACACACACACACACACACACACACACACACACACACACAAAAACACGCAGACACACACGGGCTCACACAGACACACACACGCACACAAACACACACACGCGCGTACACACACAAACAGAGACACACAGACACACACACACGTATTCAGACATCTTGTTGTTTCAGCACATTTTAATGTAGAGACGTTTTTACCTTTGATGTATTTGTGATACAAAGTAAAGTTTACATTGTGAAGTCTTCTTCATACAACACGATGTTCCTTTAGTAAATTACGGTCCGTTTAGAGTCACACAGACCGTAAAGCAGAGGATGCTCTAGGGCGGGGCTACGTGTGATTGACAGGTCTCTAACAGTATACGGCGTCCTCCTTATACGGTCACTTCCTGTTCACGGGGAAGGAAATAATCCAAGATGGCAACGAGAAGAAAAGAAATCACTGAACTTCAGTCCACAAACCCACGAGTGCCGTCACCATGACAACGTCCACTTCTTCTCCAGTCACCGGTATACAAAGTCCTTTTCCTTATTAAATATGTATCAAGCACGATGACACTTATCTGGTGGGCGGGGCTTCCTGTCTGCAGGTGAGGAGATCACAAGGGGCGTTCAGGCGTTCCTCTCTGACGGAGGAATGTACTCCAGACCCAGATGAGCAAAGATCTCCTCCTCTGAAGAGGCCCTCAGGTATCGGCTCTGCAGGAACACGACGTATGACGTCGATAGAAGAGGAGAACATGACTTCCTATGACATGACGCCTCATTTTTCATTTGTTTTCCCACAAAAATGTCCATCAACACGAGTACATTTCTGCTCGCTACATGAAAAGGATTTTCAAAATAAATTCTGTTTCTGTCCGGAAACAAAAGGAAGGTGAAATTGTGATTTATGCTTGGCTGCATTCTTTACACTTCCTGGTTCTTGATCACATGACCTCTAGGAGTCCTATCACATGGTGGGTGGAGCTCACCTGGCGGTGGTCGTACAGGGCGTGGCTGCTCAGACACATGTTCATCTCGTGGCCCGCCCAGCGCCTCAGCTCCCTCTCAAACAGCTGTGGAGGGGGCGGAGTTAGTGGAGGGGGCGGAGTCAGTGGAGGCGTCGTGCACCAGAATTACAACGAGGTCACTCTCACAGAAAGGTCACCTTGGAGCCGGTCCAGCCCAGCAGGGCGAAGGCAAACTGGCTTACGGGGGAGACCACCAGGTCCACCCTCACGGCCCGCCAGGGCCTCGGGCCCCCCTCGCCTCCGGCCCCCGCGCCTCCTCGCCCCGCCTCCTCGGGCAGCTTGAAGACGGAGAAGCACCGCTCGAAGCGGTCCATGTTGGAGGCGGGCCGGGCGGGTCCCTCCGCGGCCTCCAGGTAAGAGTTGCTGTTGGTTTTCTGGTACAAGAGGAAACCCTGGAGGGAGGAGGGCCACAACACACAGTCAGACCTCCATCCGTCCTACGCTCCCTGAACGCAACAGAAACAAAGCTTTAAAAAGGGACATTTCAAAAATAAACTTTGTTCTTAGTTAGAATTGCACCCGTTTAATTTAACGAGATTGTGTTGAAAATGTTTAACTCTGAGCTCCTCAGTAAAACGTTTACGTCATGATTGATTCATCTGAGACCAGCAGTCATGTGGCCATAAATCAGAGAAACTGACTGAACTTCAGGAAGTGACACAGAGCCGAGAGGAGAGGATGGAGATATACGTTACAAATATGAGGTGTGTGGACTTCTTAACTTCTGTTCAATACGTTATTAAAGAAATTCAACTTGCTTTTGTTCTTTTTAGGATTTATCTCACCAGTTGTTCTGCACTAAAGACACATTTCTTCTAGAGGAGCAGAACTTCGGTTACCTGAGAGTCCAGCCAGGAGACCAGTTTGGGCATCAGTCCCGCCTCCCTGCCCTCCTCCGGGTGTGTGATCAGGAAGTCCACGTCGTGGCCCGTCTGCTTCCCCCTGGAGAACAAAAAGGGGAGTTGAAACATTTCCTTTGAATGAATAGCGTCTCATGCGTGACATCGAGATGAATGACCAACTGGATTGATTGAATCAGTCTCGACTCGGAGGATGAACGTCCCCTCTGACCCCTGCGGGTCACCGGAGCTTTACCTCCTGAATCCTCCGATCAGAGTGACCCGAGCCCCCGGCAGCACGGAGCCGGCGGCGGCCTCCACCACGGCGGCCACGGCGGCGGCCTCGGCCCTGCCGACGGGCCGGTTGAGGTCGTCGTAGTGACGGAGGCCCGCTCGCTGGGCTCGGTTGAGAGTCGGCCCAGAATCCCGAAGCTGCCTCAGGGTGAGGATCCCCTCCCCGATCCACCGCCCCGCCGTCTTCACGCCAACTCCGAAAATACCGGTTAACACCTGAAACACACGCACACAGAAGAGAGTCTCTTCTTCACGACCACAAGTCAAGTAACATAAAGCCGTCATTTAGACGCCTGAAATGATTCATTGAAAAAACACTGTCTGCTGGGGACTATTTGCAACACACATTATTATATTCAGAATAAACTACATCATCATCATCATCATCATGAACACAATGATGATGATGATGGTTCCCTTTGCTGCCACCAGGTGGAGCCAAAGCGATGAAGAAGACATGAAGGAAAAGTGACAGATATATATTATATTCAGTGAGGAACAGAGCTGCTGTTGGGAATTATGGGACTCAAGAAAGAAAAACTAGAAGATTTGGAAAACTTATTCTTATTTTTATGTTCTTTTTTTTACGTTCGTTGCTTTCATCCTATTCATAAGTAATTTACAAACATCTGACGAACCTTCAGCGCTTTAAAGCGCTCAGACCGCCGCAGAGCTTCGACCTCAGGCGACGCTCCGCTCTCCAGGACGTCCTACGGGGAGAGAGGATCAAACCCCCGGACCTTCTTCTTCTTCCTCCGGTGTGACGAAGCAGGTGAGAAATAAACAACATAAACAAAGGGAGCTTCAATCTCCCGCTGACCTTGATCACTCTGAGCGAATGACCCCCGAGACACGGGACCCCCCCGAGCTGCGTCAGGCGCGTCACCGGCAGGGGGAGGGCCTTCAGCGCGGCGGCGGCCCGTCGGAACGCGACGCCTCGGCCGTCCTCGCCGCTGAGCTCGGCGTTTTCAGCCAGCAGCGACAGAGCGTCCTGGGACGGGAAACATAACGTCGGAGCAGAAATACATTTATACACAAAATAATATACATATATATATAATATGTACACGTACGGTGAGGACAGCGTTGTGGTTGTCCAGAGTGGTCCGTCTCTGACAGGCGTAGCTGGGTGTAGAAAACACCTCCACCTCTTCCGTCTGCTGCTCCTGAAAGAGAGACGGAGTAAAGGAGCAGTCGGAACGCACGGAACAAGCTAGACAGGAACCTTTGCCCGACGTTTCATAGATTTCTGAAGTTCTGTTTGGAGCGTTAACTTAGTATGACAAGTGAATTTAGTCGTCGTGACAACGTCTTTTGGTTCATCGTTTTGAAGCCTTGAGTTCGGCGCTTTGGTCGTCGCATCTTGTTTTTACTCAACCAGTGAACACGAAGTGACCATAAAAGGACTAAGGAGGGCGTAGAGTCACTGTACACGTCTCTGGTAGAAACCTGTCAATCAAAGTAAGCCCCGCCCTACAACATCCCGTGCTCTGAATGGACCGAAATTTACTAAATGAAGTTCATGACCATAAACGCATGTTTACAATGTTTACTGAGGGAATAAATCAAGAGAGAAGTTGAGTCATTTCCTCATAGACGTCTATGGGAGCAGAGGAGTCGCCCCCTGCTGGTCACTACAGAGAAGTAGAGTCATTTCCTCATAGACGTCTATGGGAGCAGAGGAGTCGCCCCCTGCTGGTCACTACAGAGAAGTAGAGTCATTTCCTCATAGACGTCTATGGGAGCAGAGGAGTCGCCCCCTGCTGGTCACTACAGAGAAGTAGAGTCATTTCCTCATAGACGTCTATGGGAGCAGAGGAGTCGCCCCCTGCTGGTCACTACAGAGAAGTAGAGTCATTTCCTCATAGACGTCTATGGGAGCAGAGGAGTCGCCCCCTGCTGGTCACTACAGAGAAGTAGAGTCATTTCCTCATAGACGTCTATGGGAGCAGAGGAGTCGCCCCCTGCTGGTCACTGCACAGAATGCAGCTTTAACTCACCTGTAGCTTGTGTCTGTCCAGTACTTCGACAGGACGTCCCGCCTTCATGCTCTCCGTGAACCAGCTGACGTCCAGCAGGTGAGCAGCTGTTTGACCTCCGACCTCCGACCTCAGCCAAGTTCTGACCTCCTCACTGGAGTTATTCTCACAGATGACATGTGTGACTCTCTCACTGGGAAAAGACAACATGACTAACAATATTACTAATATTGTATGTTAAAACTATTACATATACATAAAACCATATTAAGAATATTTTTATGGATTGTTATTATTATTATAAATTAAAGAGATATTGGAATATTACTACTATTATTACGAATATATTACAATTATTAAAGTTATTACTCACACATTAACATCATAAAAAGGAAAAGCAGAAAACCATCACATTCGTTTTAACAGGAAAAATGTTAACAAAACAACATATTTTATTAACTTTTCGTTTATTTTCTTTAGAAAAGTTTAAGATTGAAGAAATAAACAGCTGTCAGATAAATGTGTAAAAGTATCAAGTGGCAAACGACTCGAATGTGTACTTCATAAATACTAAATATACTTTTGTTGAGTACCTCGCCAATACAATATTTGTACATATTTGAATCTCACCTGAGCAGCTGCTCCACCTGGAATCCTTTCTTCTCCCCGAGCTGAGAGAGAAAACGTCTCCGACTGGCTCCCATCTTTCTCTCCAGCAGGAACAAAACGACCTGAGGGAACCTGGTCCCCTCATGGCTCCCAGTGGCCCCCTCATGGCTCCCAGTGGCCCCCTCATGGCTCCCAGTGGCCCCAGTGTGGCTCCCAGCAGCGGAGCAGACGAGCTTCCTCCTCTTGAAAGGCACCATGTTGTTACATCTGACGCTGGGAGGGAAACTAGCTTGAATATCGCCTGTACGTTGTGCTAACGGTACTTTCCGCAGTAGCTCGGTTTACTTCCTGCTAGCTTACTTTTATAAAGCTGAACATGACGAGAAGAGTCTTCCGTGTTTGTGTTGCGACGCGGTTACGTGCAGGTGTCTGAAGTAACGAACTTCATTCTGAGAAGTAGGTTAACGGTGAACAAACGATGCAAACTTCTGTGAAGCGTGCGGGCGGAAGCAGCTGCGGAGACTGTGCGTCATCAAAATAGTTCCGACTAGAAACTGCGCGATGGAAGATTATGATAGATATTTTCTTCCGTTATTTATATATATATTATATGTAAAATTGGAGAAAAAAAAGTTGGAAATGGTAAGTCTACATTGATTACTATATTTTACATCATAATAATTATAAGGATAATAATGGCAATAACACTTATACTAATAATATATATACAACTATTATGAATTGTTATTATTTAAATCAGCAAATAAACATCTTACTTACCACCTCATAAAAACTCCAGTCAAAGTCAGCAATTCAGGAATTTGAGCTTTTTATCTCATCATTTTAGTATTCCAAGGCTGTGACTTCACACACAGTCTCAATTTAATATTTGAGTTTTCTAAGTAGTTACCACATAACCCTCTATGTTACACATTTAGATTTATATTAGCTTAATTCCTATGTATTATAGTATTATACATTATTGGAGAATTAATACTGAACCATCAATGTTAGAGCAGCATGTTACTGTTCAGCATTTTATTCAGTTGAAGAATATTATACTGTTGTCAAAAATACATTCATAAAATACTATAAAAGATGACATAGTATAACGTACTAAATTTGCAATATAACGTTTATTTTTTAATAAATATATCCTTTAGGATATTGTATGTTATGTTCACAGGTGTTCGGTCGTAAGGAAGTAGTTGAAATCCGCCTTATACAACGTGTTCTCACTCTTAGCTCCGCCCCCTCCGTCTGATCACATGACCACCGGCGCCCTCGCGCTCCACTTCCTCAAACACCTCAGTCTCCGGAGGGCAGGGTTTTGGGTCTAGGGTGTCCCGACGCGTCCCGCGTGCTCGAATGTCCGGTCCGGGGAGAAGAGCCGGAGCGGCGCGCGGAGCCCGGCGGGGGGGCGTCGCGCTCCTCGCGCTGCTCGCGCTGCTCACCTGCTGCGCCAGGTGTGCCGCATTGCCGAGCAACGTCATCCTCATCCTCGCGGACGACCAGGACGTGCAGCTGGGGGGGATGGTGAGTGAGGGGGGGGCGATACCGGAAGTCACTTCTCATTAAGTCCCCGTGTCGGTCCTAAAGACACGTGTGAGATCAAAGGCCGCCTCAGAGGGGCACCATGGTACTCTGTGGTACTTTTGTCGTACTTTTGTGGTACTCTGTGGTACTTTTGTGGTACTCTGTGGTACTTTTGTCATACTCTGTGGTACCTTGTGATACTCTGTGGTACTCTGTGGTACCTTGTGGTACTCTGTGGTACTTTTGTCATACTCTGTGGTACCTTGTGATACTCTGTGGTACTCTGGTACCTTGTGGTACTCTGTGGTACTTTTGTCATACTCTGTGGTACCTTGTGATACTCTGTGGTACTCTGTGGTACTCTGTGGTACCTTGTGGTACCTTGTGGTACCTTGTGGTACCTTGTGGTACCTTGTGGTACTCTGTGGTACCTTGTGGTACTCTGTGGTACATTGTGGTACTTTGTCATACTCTGTGGTACTCTGTGGTACTTTGTGGTACTCTGGTGTGTTTTATTCAGGAAGTGAAGCAGGAAGCTTCTTCTCTTTGCTCAAAGTCGCTTATTCGATCGAGTTGATCAGCACAAAAGAATCAAACGATTTGAACATTTTGCTGCTTTTCTTTGTCTTGTAAATAGTTAGTTTTTTATTCTCATTCTGATGAACAATTAAGAAGACGCGTCCATCTGCACTACACATTTATATTGTACACATGAGTAATGTTCATGCTGAGTTTTGGGTTCTATTTCGTTGTCTCTAGTGTCTTTTTTCAGGTTTTTCAATATTCTGTTGTTTATTTGTTAAATATGTCTGACAGAGAAACGTGTAACCGGAGACTAATTCCATGTGTGTGCAAACACACACGTCCAATAACAGCCGATTCCACCATGTGAGATTATTTATCGGCAAGATGTTCCACACAGTAACAATGAATTCATTATGGATCAAATGTTCATAACTTTATTACCTGTTGAAGTCTGTTGTGGTTTGTGTTCTCAGACCCCCATGAAGAAAACCAAAGCCTTGATCGGCGACGCGGGGGCAGTATTTGTGAATGCTGTAAGTACGATACTCACATTCTAATGTTCGAGAGAAATAATCCACTTTTTACTGCATTTGTTTGACATCTTTTTCACACTAAATAGAATACAAGCGTAATGCAACGCGATGCTAAAGCGCAGACGGTGACGTGTCTATAATCCCCCCCCCCCGGTAGTTCACGGTGACCCCGCTGTGCTGCCCCAGCAGGAGCAGCGTCCTGACGGGCCAGTACCCCCACAACCACCAGGTGAGGAACAACTCGCTGGCGGGGAGCTGCTCCAGCGCTCGCTGGCAGAAGGGCCCCGAGGCCTCGGCCTTCCCCGTCCACCTCAGCAAGCAGAAGTACCAGACCTTCTTCGCCGGGAAGTACCTGAACCAGGTGAGCGCAGAGGAAGCCAGAACACGCCTGTGGTGCAGAAGAACTCGTGCAGGTGATCCAACTGTTCGTTATTCTTTTCCCTGCATCAGTACGGCAGGAAGGAGGCGGGAGACGTTGGCCACGTTCCACCGGGCTGGGACCAGTGGCACGCACTGGTGAGTGACACACACACACACACACACACTCCGCCGTGTACTCAGCTCTTCTTCTGTGCTTACGGCTCCAGGTGGGAAACTCTCGGTACTTGAACTACACGCTGTCGGTGAACGGCGTGGAGGAGAAGCACGGAGACCGCTACGAGTCGGACTACCTGACCGACCTCATCGTGAGTCCTCACAGCGGTCGGGGGGGAGGCGTTAAGCGTCCACGCTGGGAAGTCAAAGTCCTCCAGCATTTGAAAAGAAGGCGTTTGGCTTCTTTGTGCTTTTTATTTTTTCTATCTGGATGTTTTCCTGTAAATGGAGTTTACGAGCCGCAGGAATGTTTCAACTTGTGACTGAAGGCAGTTTTTTTTTTTACGAGCTCATAAATGCAAAAAAAAACCAAGATGGCGATCGATGAGTCACGGCAGATGAGTGTTGGCCGTTGCGTAAACGCTTTTCTAATGATTGTCACGCTGAATGACGTTTCCTCCATCCAGGCCAACCGGTCGCTCCGCTTCCTGGAGGACCGGAGCCCCCGGCGTCCCTTCTTCCTCCTGCTGTGTCCTCCGGCTCCTCACTCCCCCTGGACGCCGGCGCCGAAGTACCAGAAGCAGTTCGCCGACGTCAAAGCGCCCCGAGGCGGAAGCTTCGACAAACCGGGGAAGGTGAGACCACGTTGACCCCCCCCCGAACACCCGAACCGGTCTACGTTCGGTCCAGATCCTCGTCACGCAGACCCCCAGCAGAGGCTTCCTGAGGGGGCGACAGAACCACCGCTCGGTAAAAGCTCCTCTTGGTGACCGTAAAGGTGACGCGTTCTCATCATGTGACCATCAGGACAAACACTGGCTGCTGCGTCAGCCCGAGAACCCGATGGCGCTCAGCTCGCTCGCCTTCCTGGACAGCGCGTACCGGAAAAGGTAAAACCGCTGCACCGCCTCACGCCAGAGGTTCTGAAGAAGGAAGCCGGCAGGTTCTGGAGCCTGATTTCCCTACAATCAAACGTCCCACATTCTGACTCCTGTCAGAACCAGAGGGACCAACAACATCAACGCTTGACGCAGCACGAAGCACACGCCGCATGTGACCTCAGGTGACCTTTGACCCGTGCAGGTGGCAGACGCTGCTGTCGCTGGACGACCTGGTGGAGTCGCTGGTCAACAAGCTGGAGAGCATCAAAGAGCTCAACAACACCTACATCTTCTACACCTCGGACAACGGCTACCACACAGGTCAGAGCCCCCCCTTCAGAGCGCCGCCAGCCGCCTGTTTGCCCGTCGTATTAACCTCTGACCCCATCCGACCCCCCCTCGCTGTTCAGGTCAGTTCTCGCTGCCCATCGACAAGAGGCAGCTCTACGAATTTGACATCCGGGTCCCGCTGATGGTCCGCGGCCCGGGAATCAAACCCCAGCAGACGCTGCAGGTCGGACCCGGACACACGCACGCACACACGCACGCACACACACACACACACACGTTTCATTGTGTGATGACCTCCGTCAGGCGCCGGTGCTGAACATCGACCTGGCCCCCACCATTCTGGACATCTCTGGGACCGACCTGTCTTCAGTGGACGTGGACGGACAGTCTTTCCTCTCTCAGATGGTCCGTCTTCACACACACACACACACACACACGCACATGAGTAAAGATAAACTATAAGAGCTTTACATCGGTTTTCTCACCAAAATAAAAGCACCATTAATAGTAATATAATGGTGATAATCGTGGATTTGCCCCTCAGGCCCCCTCCCTGCGTAACGGGACCACCCGTCCCTTCTTCCTGGTGGAGTACAACGGAGAGGGACATCCAACCACCGACCCCGCCTGCCCCACACTGGGCCCGGGACTCTCTGTGAGTATCCAGGACGGGATTAAGGGTCGATTGGGTTTAGTTTATTTAGTTTACCATCAGGGGGAAATAATGCTAAAGAGACACAGACACAGACACACACACACACAGACACACACACACAGACACACACACACACAGACACACAGACACACACAGAGGGGAGTATAGATGAACGGAAGCATCACAAACCTTTCGGGCGTTAAATGTAGTTTCTTCCCTCATTTTATGGTTTTAGGGGGAAACATAAAATCTCCTTTTTGCTCAGAAATGAACCAGAGAATCGAATGAAGAACGAGGCAGAGGAGATCTGAGCGCCGCGTGGTCCTCAAGAGCTCGGGGGGGGAATGTCTCCTCGCAGGACCAAGGACAACCCGTCCGTCCTCTTTTTAAACTAAACTTGGAGGGAAAAGAAGTGATGTGTTTTAGAAAAGTGAACGTTGTGATGACGATGATTCCAACACTTCATTAGAAAATGTCTTCTTCAGCAATGTTTCCCAGACTGCGTCTGTGAAGACGCCTTCAACAACACGTACGCCTGCGTCCGCACGCTGGACCCACAGAACGACCTCCAGTACTGCGAGTTCGCCGACAGCGAGGTACGCAGTGATAAACGGAAGGACGAAGCGTTTCTTTGTGTGGTGAATGTTGGTGATAAACTGAAGGATGAAGCGTTTCTTTATGTGGTAAATGTTGGTGATAAACTGAAGGATGAAGCGTTTCTTTATGTGGTGAATGTTGGTGATAAACTGAAGGATGAAGCGTTTCTTTATGTGGTGAATGTTGGTGATAAACTGAAGGATGAAGCGTTTTTATCTGATGATTGTTGGTGATAAACTGAAGGATGAAGCGTTTCCTCCTCTTTGTGTCCCCAGTCCTTCGTTGAAGTGTACAACCTGACGTCGGACCCCCACCAGCTGGAGAACATCGTGAAGCAGGTGGATCCGGCCGTCCTGCAGTCGATGAACCAGCGGCTCATAAAGCTTCAGTCCTGTCAGGGCGACAGTTGCCGTGACAACAAGTAACGGCGCCATGAGGCGGTTGGTCTCTTTTGGTCGACGACCACTTCGTTAGACGTGACTTTTTTTATGAGCGTCTGAGCTTCTGAACATGTTTCTCAACTGAAAACAACCAAAGATGTTTTTTCTTTTTCATTGTATTGATCATTCACTCTTGTTGGATCAGAAGACGATTCCACTGACGTCTGTCTGGTCAGTATGAAGCGCTCACCAGGGGCTAATTAGCTTAGCATTATAAATTGTCATGAAATACCAGCCCAGCGCCGTACAAAAGTAAACGTAAAGCTCTTTGATAGTAGAATTTATGTTTTGATGCTTAATTCGAGTCTTTGTGTGTCGGTACGAAACCTCAACCTGCTGCTTTTTGACGTAACGGTTTTTGAAACATAGAAAGTTTTAATCCGATGTCTTTAGGCGACATTTTGTCACCTTTGGACGGAACGAGGCGAGCAATTTCTTCCTGTTTGGGGTCTTTATGCTAAGCTAAGCTAACCTGGTCCAACCATCTCCTTCACCTGAACCTCAGTGGAGTTTGACCTCATTCTTTAATGTTTTTTTTTTTTATAGGACATTGTCTGTTTGTCCAGTTGTTGCTCCTCAGATTTAAACATTTTGAAAGACAATTTTTAATCCTCATGTTATATATTTTACACGAGTATTAATGAGGACGTTTGTGAAGAGCCTTTTGTAAAGTGCTGTCACACTTTTTTGTGACGATTTTTCTGTGATGAATCCATCGAGTTTCATTTGAAGCAAACTCTTTGATCTTTGAGCCGACGAGGCCTTTAAATGTGAATCTTTCTGCACTGTGACGAACGTTAAATAAATAACACACTATAAATTAGCTGGAAAAATCCACAAGGACATCATTAAGTTAATTATTACTATATTAACAGTGTACATTAACAATACAGCATCTCTGATTTTAATGATTTTAAAGTAGGTGGAAGGACCCAAAAAGGTTTATTTGAACAAGAAAATAAAATCCCATCTGCGAGTCCGTTGTTTAAGATCCTGAAGGTTCTTGACCTGCATTTAAAAAATATATAAATGTTTGAAATCTATCTGGTTCAACTGGTAATTACACTTGACTCTGACTTCATTATTTACGTTTCTTTAATGAATAAAACAATTATTCTTTCTTCACTTGCAAACCATGAGTTATTAGTTTATTTAAATTGAATCTTTATTAAATCCCTTTTCCTGATTTCATCATTCAAGTTTCATTTACAGGTTCTGATTTCTGTATTTTTACTGTTTTTCTGTGTGACGCATTTAACTTTGTTTTCATAATTTCTACATAAAGATTTCATGATATGAGAAAAGACATTGACATTTCCAAATATAAATAACCGTTAAAATGCAGTATAAGTACATATATACTGTGTATTAAACCAGGTCGTTTTTTACATTCGTTAAACAACTTTTAATCACAAAAGCAGCGATGACATCACTGCGAGCTCGGATGACGGGAGTTTTATACAAGAGCAGAAGTACAGCGTGTTCCCAGCACGCCGCTCCATCAGAGGTACTTGTACACGGCCTTATCCTGCAGGGTCTGCACCTCCAACTTCACGGGGCACTTGTACAAGTGCGACAGCATCGTCTCCGAGTAGCCGATCAAGAAGTAAAACTTCTGCGGCTGTAACTTCTGCAGCATCAAAGCGCACACCACCAGCACGTTGCCGCGCCGCTTGATCACGAGCTCGTTGGCCAGGCAGCCGTGGAAGGTCCCGAATATGAAGCGCCTCACGAACACGTCCTCCACGGTCCGCTCGGCCGTGCCCTCCTCTCCCCTCAGGTTACCTGTGAGCGACGGGAAGGACGGGTGCCCCAGGTGAGTAAATCACACGTGCCCTCTCAGGCGCCATTGTCATCAATGGGGAGACGATCGATACGGTTACCGGACTTAAGTATCTGAGATCGAAACGATAAAATACAACGGTTTGAACCGAGCAGTTGATGTTTGTCACGTTTGGTGACGACGTGGATCGAGACGTGGAGTCAGACGCTGCTGGAGGAGCGCGCTCACCGGTGTGCTGCGACAGCCACCCTTTACGGTGGGCGATGTGATGGGGCGGAAGCGCCTCCTCGTAGGTCAGGGGTCGGTCTCCTTTGCCCACTCGGACACGAGCCGCTCGGTTCTGAGAGGGCGGAGAAAGAAAGGAGCAAGTTCAGTGACAACAATCTTTAAGCGGAGCGTCCAAAAGCCGAGCGCCCACTCCTCCATTACGGCCTCGTGCCGATCGCAGATACACAACGTCTACTAAAAACACGTCATCGACGTCTTCACGAGTGATCCACCGGGATGGGTCGCTGCGGTGACGTGTTTACCTTGCAGCGCGCCGCGGTGACGTGGAGGCCTCGGCTCAGCGAGCCCGACCGCAACGAGCTCTGAGGACACAAACGGGAGACACCGTCAGGTCCACGGGACGAGTTATGAGACAAGAGTCACCGGGTCAGCGTTCCCCTGAATGTGGCGTTTGACCCACAGCGAGACAGAAGAGCGTTTAACAGTCCATTTAGCTGACACGTTGTTTGTACACAAACTCAAGGCGTCGAATCGTAACGTGACGAACATGAAGCTACGTTGGCTAAAGCTAACGTGAAACATTATCATCTGAATAAACACGCTCTCACACCGCACCGTCGAAAGAACCAGCGCACACTGACATGTTAACATGTCAAACTTGATTCATTTCAATATCTGAAACGTGTAAATATGCTTCATACTGACCAGAAGCCTCGCGCTTGCTGTGCTGCTCAAGGACGCCGCCATGTTTTTTAGTGAGAATGTTGCCCGTAGATTTTACCAAACTAGTAGAAACACTCGTTATGATTTAAACTTTTAATTTACACTGAAAATGACATGAATGATTGTGAGTCGTGTTTAAATACCAGATGTGTTGTTTGTCCGGTAAGCTATGCATGAACACTGGAACGATTTCAACAGCCGTGCATCTGTTTCCACCGGAGGACTGTTGCGCTGAACCGAACGGATGACGAAAGAATAAATAGTTTAGAGAATAGATAGCTTTCGAAACATTTATTGTGATGTTACTAGTTACATTTTTTTGTTAAAGTACACAATATACTGCATCAATAAAAACTCATTTTGTGTTCTTCTGTTAATAGGCGTTGGTTTCAATCTATTTGTAGAAACCTCGTCCTTATTGTGAAAAACCTGCGCCGGAAGTGTTGTTGTTCTGGAAGGAGTAACAGCGGCGTCAAGAAACGTTGCTGAGCGAGTCCCGCCGAGACTTAAACTTGTATTCGTCGAAGACGGCGGTCTTTTTCCGGTCCGGAACTCGTCGGTCGGGACACTTTAACGGTCGGTGAACGCGCTCCCGCGTCAAAGAATCCCGTTAAAAGCCGCCATGGCGTCGCCGCTGCAGATGACAGAGATGTACGACAACGCGCTGCTCGGCATCCTGCAGCACGTCGGGAACATCCAGGACTTCCTGCAGGTCTACTTCGGCTTTCTGTACCGCAAGACGGACTTCTACCGCCTGCTGGCGGCCCCCGCCGACAAGATGGGCTTCCCGCCCGGCGTGGCGGAGAAGATGGTGCTCAAGGTGCAGTTATTCCCGCTGCCATGGCGACGCCGGGCATCCACGCTGCTTGGCTGGTTGTGTTTTTACAGATGGATAAAAAGAGACGCGTTGCTATTATTTTGTCCATCCCGTCTGTGTCAACAACGTCTTAAACGGGTGTAAATTATATTTCACTGGCCTTTAAAGTGGTTTCATTTGCAACACAGAATTCAGTTTCATTATTTGCCTTTCACAACTTATTAAAGGGTCTCACTTTCCCTTTTTTGTTAATCTTATCTCACTTCTGTAACACTTGATCCTTAACAGTTTGTTCTGGGGAGTTTGCTGTGGTGACTTTTTTCCCCCCTGGTGAGAATCTACTTCCTGTTTCACCAAAGAGCAGCAGCTCCTCCCCTGATCGTCCTCCGTTCCCCCTTCAGACTTTCAAGCTGTTCGAGAAGCTGGCGGAGAGCGACCGCGAGCGGCAGCACGGCGAGCGGAGGAGGAGGGAGGAGAGCCGGCGGGTTCCTCCGGCGGTTCAAGAGCTGGAGGTCGCCGCCGCCGCCGCGGAGGAGGTGGAGGAGCGGAGCGCCGAGGAGGCGGTGGAGAGCCCTCCGCCCGACGCTCCGGCTTCCTCGGAAGGTTCTGAGCCGACGGCCCCGGGAGGTCAGGGAGGTCAGGCAGCTGCAGCTGTCACGACCTCAGCAGACGTGTGAGTGACCTCCATCTGTCAATCGAATCAACATCTTGCTAAATATACATACAGCCTAAAGCGTCTCCTGCTTCATGGCCTGTTTGACTCTAAATGGACCATAACTCACTAAATGAACATCATGTTGTGTTGAAGAAGACTTGAAACTAGAGACTGAGACATAAACTCTGATCGTTGGCTGGATTATGGGGAGGCCTCAGAACACGGATCACGTTTCGTTGACTCACTCCAGGACGCAGGAGAAGTTCCAGTCGGACCCCGACAGCTACAACGGCGCCATGAGGGAGAACTACAGCTGGTCCCAGGACTACACCGACGTGGAGGTCCGGGTCTTCGTTCCCAAAACGGTCGTCAAAGGCCGACAGGTAAAGCCTCCGTCTGTGTCCCGGGGGGGTGCAGGGGCTCTCACCCCCCTCCCCCCCCCCGAGTCTCACCCCCGCCGTGTCTCGCTGGCTGTCCTCAGGTCCGAGTGGACCTGCAGGCCGGCGGCATGCAGGTGTGCGTGCGGGAGGGCGATGAGGAGAGGACGCTGATGGAGGGAGACTTCACCCACAAGATCAACACGGAGACGTCGCTGTGGAGCCTGGAGCCGGGCAGCTGTGTGGTGGTGAGCGCACACACACACACACACACACACACCCGCTACACACACACACACCTCCTCACCGCCCCTCTGGCCTCCAGCTGTCGCTCAGTAAGACCTCTGAGGTCTGGTGGAACGCGGTCCTGAAGGGGGAGGAGGAGATCGACATAAACCAGATCAACAGGGAGCGCTCCATGGCGACGGTGGACGAGGAGGAGCACGCCGTGCTGGACCGCCTCTCCTTCGACTACCACCAGAAGCTGCAGGGGAAGCCCCAAAGCCACGAGACGGTGAGTCCTCGTCCCCTACGGGAACCAGTCTCAGCTGAGTCCTGATCCCCTATGGCAGCGATTCCCAAAGTGTGCAGGTGGGCCGCGAGAGGTCATTTACAATAAATAGTTTTTTTTAATTTTCAATTTTTAAAAGTTTGGAATTAATATAAAAATATTTATGATGTGAAACATTAGTTGATGAAGCACAAACCATTTAAACGGACAGATTAATAAAACAATAAGGCTCTCGCTCCAAACGGCTGCTCTTGTCCGCCTGTCGTTGTCAACAAACGCGGCGCCTCTTGTGGTATTAAAGTCAATATACCGCATTGTCCGCACTCCAAGGCGCATTTAAAAGGCTTTAACTTCCTCAGAAAACGACCGTGCCTTATAATCCGGAGCGCCTTATATATATGGATCAATTGGTTAATGGGTTGATCCATACTGGTTGTACACTCTGCCAAACACGCCAAAGCTCATCTAGGACGGCGAGATGCTGAGCGGCGCTCAACCGCGTGAGATACGGAGCTGCTTTCAGGGCGCGTCGGAGAAACAGAGCTGTCGTTCTCTCCGAGCGCTTCATGAGATTAAAGAGCGAGAGACGGAGCCCTTTTCTCTACAGTAGCTGAACCATCTTAACGGGGAACATAAGTTATTCTAAAAGCAGCCGGAGATTTAAGGCGTGGATGGCGAGGGGGGCGGCGGGAGCGGACGCACCTCGCAGCATCGATCGGACCCTGAAAGCACCGTCTCCACCTGTCAGAAAGAACAACAACAGCGAGCGCTCAGCTCTATGGGAACCAGTCTCAGCTTAGTCCTGATCCTCTATGGGAACCAGTCTCAGCTTAGTCCTGATCCTCTATGGGAACCAGCCTCAGCTTAGTCCTGATCCTCTATGGGAACCAGTCTCAGCTTAGTCCTGATCCTCTATGGCAGAGGTCTTTAGGGGTCCGTGAAGGTACAATTTCTTCACCGCAAATTGAAATTCTTCAGAATCAGAATTGTATTTATTGTCTTTAAATTACACAAATCCAACATATCGTAGAAACGGATACATTGATGGAGGAGACGTCTTTCTGTCCACCAGCAGCTCTCATGACATCACAGGCACCAGCCAATCAGATCCGTTCATGCTCACGTCTTAAGAGGGCGGAGCTCAAAGATAACAGATGGCGACCAAACTCCGTAGAATAGGGGGTCCCTGCTCCATCTCCCGTTGAAGACTCCTGATCTATGGAACCAGTCTGTTTACATCACGTCATTTAGAAACAAAAGGTCCTCCAGCAGCGACTAGAAATGTCCATTTGGTTCTGTTCCACCGTTGAGTGTTTACTCTATTGGATCAGTTTTACTGGCTTCCTGTAGAGGTCTCTATCATCTATACTGACCCCCCCTCACCCCCACAGAAGGTGCACGACATGCTGAAGAAGGGCTGGGAGGCCGAAGGCTCGCCCTTCAGGGGGCAGCAGTTCGACCCCTCCATGTTCGACATCCCGCCCAGCGCCGTGCAGTTCTGAGCGGAGGAGGACCGGACCGAGTCAGCCGGGTTGTGGAGGAGAGGACGGGTGTCCGTTGTCGTGGCGACGGAGAAGGGACGGCGTCGTGGCGACGCATGATATGTTTGATGTTTTGGAACCCGATACATTGGTGCGATTTGTTGACCGTTTTGCTCTTAATTTAAAAACTCTGCAGTGCCTCCGTGAGGAACTCTTGATCTCATGACCCCCCCAGACCCCCCCGGACCCCCCAGCTGTTGCAGCATCGAGGAGAGTTTCCATCCACAGTGTTTTGATTGAATGATTAAAGGTTTCCAGAGTTCAGGGGAACAGCTGGTTTACTAGCTGATGACAAACTACTGCTTAATAAATGTTGATATCAAAAGCTTGTTTTTCTACTTGATAAACTCACGTTTACTGTTTTTTAGAGACTTTAAACGCATCTCGTGGTCCTCTGCAGTAAAGTACCTCATGCGTGTACTTATTTGAGTAAATGTACTTTATGCTACTGCTTATTGATCAGAAATGTAAAAATAAAGGATTTAACAGCTTTAGTAAAGTTAAAAAATCAGTGTCTGGTTTAATTTTTTCCCATTAAGATGAACGTTGATGTAATTGGGGAACTAATGCTTAATCAATGTTAATACGTAGTAAATGAAGAACTTATTGATCAGCAACACGTTGGTCAAACTGTCGAAAGCTCTCCAGCAGGGATTCACTGACCTCCGCGTCACCACGGAAACAACACGGCGACAGCCGGGTCTCCAGGGAGACGCATCCCTCTGATTCTGGCGGCTCAGATTGATCCCACCGGTCGGCCGTCTTTGTTCTGAGACGACGATGCCGAAAGAGGAGCGACGTCTGACGACCTCTCTGCATTTTGTTTATCACTTAAACTTCGTCTTGAACATGGTTCAACGTTTCGGTCTCCACCTGCATGTAAAGGTGAGCGAGTTAATTCTGCATCAGAGGGACGAGCGTCTCAAGGACCCTTAAAAAGATCTTTTAAATAAACACTTGTGGTTTACGAACAGTTGTGACCTTGTTATCGTCACGTCCTCGCTCCTCTGTCACCTACGTCAGTCCTCATCGACTCACTCCTGTAGTCTCCTTCTCGTAGTCTCCTCCCTGTAGTCTCCTTCTTGTAGTCTCCTTCCTGTAGTCTCCTTCTAGTCTCTTCTCGTAGTCTCCTCCCTGTAGTCTCCTTCTTGTAGTCTCCTTCTAGTCTCCTCCCTGTAGTCTCCTTCCTGTAGTCTCCTTCCTGTAGTCTCCTTCTCGTAGTCTCCTCCCTGTAGTCTCCTCCCTGTAGTCTCCTTCTAGTCTCCTCCCTGTAGTCTCCTCCCTAGTCTCCTTCTCGTAGTCTGCTTCTCGTAGTCTCCTCCCTGTAGTCTCCTTCTTGTAGTCTCCTTCTAGTCTCCTACCTGTAGTCTCCTCCCTAGTCTCCGTCTCGTAGTCTCCTTCTTGTAGTCTCCTCCCTGTAGTCTCCTTCTTGTAGTCTCCTTCTAGTCTCCTCCCTGTAGTCTCCTTCTCGTAGTCTCCTTCTCGTAGTCTTCTTCCTGTACTCTCCTCCCTGTAGTCTCCTTCTAGTCTCCTCCC